GGTAAGAAGAGTCAGTCAAATCACCCAGCTTGTAAGTGTCAAGTCTAGGATTTGTTTTGAGATCCTGGACCTATCATGGGCTTTCTTCAATGCTCCAGGCTGTGTCTCTTTCAGCAGCTGCTTGTGCCCAGTCAGTGTTACTCAGGCATTTCTTTGCTAGACTCCAGAGGTGACACCAGATACTCCATGAATACTACCCTCCTTGGAATCCGTTTCCTTCATATAAGTTGCTCTGTGCCAGCCCACTTCAAGACAGGACAGATATTAATGTGCAAAGGTTGGAGCTGCTGCCCTTTAAGAAAAGGTCAGATACGTGAACAAAACTGTGGCCCGTGCCCCAGACTGCACATGATCAATGCCAAACTACAGATTCCCTTGCAGAGGGCTCTGCAAGTTTCTATGGAAAAGATGTCTATGTGGTCATAAGACTCAACTTAAAGCTCCAGAAGACCCTCCCCCCACCCCACACACACATACACACATGTCCCTATGGTTCATTTCCAGAACAGATTCCACTTTGGCTTATTCTGATTCCAAAAGCCAAGCTACAGGACTTGGATTGCAGAGTATGTGACAGCACATTTGGGTTGCCCCCAGGTACTAGGCCAGCTGAAATATTTTTGAGAGTTCAAATCTGTCTTATATTTTGTAGTGTATCTTATAAAAATAAAATTAGTAAAGAACATCAATGGCTCTGACAAGCAGCTCCAAAAAGTGGACGGTTGGATTCTAACAATGTCCATCCCTTTGTGTGATTAGAGAAGACAGTTGATCAGCAGGTCAGCTGAAAACCAGAAAAAGTGGCAGTGGAGTTGTGAATCAGAAGTGTGTGTGTGTGTGTGTGTGTGTGTGTGTGTGTGAAAGAGAGAGAGACAAAGACAGAGAGACAGAGATGGGGGTGCAGAGCGCTCTGGCTCTGAAGGTCTGGAGAGATTCCTGGGATCAAATCTAATCCCTGCCATTTGCTAACTATGGAAGCTATAGGCAAGTTATTACACTCTCTGAGTCATCCGAGAAATGGGACCAGCTACTCCCCACTTCCCACAGGAGTCAGAAGAATTAAGTGAGTTATTCCTTGTAAAGTACCAGAACCGTGCATGGAATTTCTGGCTCAAGAAACAGTGGCAAATGTTATTGCTGTGATCATTATTGCCCATGATAATATTATATTCTTTGGAAATATATGAATGGCCAAATGAATCTGAAACAGCCTTAATCTTTTAAAAATATTTGTGCCACAAGGGAGGGGTGAGGATAGGTAAGACACCTAAAAAACTAGCTAGCATTTGTTGCCCTTAATACAGAGAAACTAAAGCAGATACCTTAAAGCAACTGAGGCCAATAGGAAAAGGGGACCAGGAACTAGAGAAAAGGTTAGATTAAAAAGAATTAACCTAGAAGGTAACACCCACGCACAGGAAATCAATGTGAGTCAATGCCCTGTATAGCTATCCTTATCTCAACCAGCAAAAACCCTTGTTCCTTCCTATTATTGCTTATACTCTCTCTACAACAAAATTAGAGATAAGGGCAAAATAGTTTCTGCTGGGTATTGAGGGGGGGAGTGGGAGGGGGTGGAGTGGGTGGTAAGGGAGGGGGTGGGGGCAGGGGGGAGAAATAAACCAAGCCTTGTATGCACATATGAATAATAAAAGAAAAATGAAAAAATAAATAAATAAATAAAATACTAAGTCATCAAATAAATGCAAATAGAACTAAAAAAAAAATAAATTAAAAAAAAAAATAAAAATATTTGTGCCAGTTGTACTGATAATACCATCAATGTCACACTTCCTGTAGGTTGGATTCATCCTAAATTTGTACCTTTGGACTTCATACCTTTGTTTTGTTCCTTTTTTCTATTTGCTTGGGCATTTTTGTTTATTTTTCCAATAGGAACCTGTTTCCCCATGAGTAACATGGGAGAGATTTACAGTGGGGTTTTTGCTACCCTAGAGACAAGCCTGTCCTCAGATGTCAGAAGGTGCCCTGCAGCTAGCAAGCAGCCCCACTACATTAAAATCCCCAGAGGTGCTTTGACACTAGGTGTCTGATTGACAGCAGGCATCCTGGCCTCACCCTGGCTTATGCACAGAAACTAACATGGCTTTCTATAGCTATTGCCCATGAAGGCACTGAGAGTTTGGCAGATCAGTTCACTTCTCACCTCAATCCAAGCACTGATGTTACAGCTTCTTGCCTCAAAACAAGATCAATACTTAATATAGGAACATAGTCCTGGTGAGATGGTTTATAGACTTCTAAGCAGTGTTGACTGTTTCAGTGAGTTGAATATGTCAGCGATGGACAGCTTATTTAGATCTTGGTTAATCCACAGATGTGCAGTTCTATATTTCAATTACTGAATTTGGATGTCCTTTCAAGGATATTGTTAAAACCTGCTTATCACTGGATCAGCCAAGTCATAGAGCAGAAGAGGGTTTGAGTCCATTACAATCTGGGAATGAACTTTCTGGCTTATCTACAGGCTGTAAAACACAGCATTAATTATTTTTAAATCGACATCTTTAGAAAAAAAACCACAGGTGAATAATTTTGTAGATTATAAATAATCAACCAATAAAAAGTTATTTTTAAAGATTTCTCTGTATGCCAAGATTCCCAGCTCCTCAGAGATTAGAGAAGTATAAAACAAAGCTTTTACCTCTAAAATCTTCCACCACCTACAGAAATCATAGAGAAAATATAAATTCAGGGCAGAAAATTAGAAACCCCAGATACTGATTATAAAATACAGATAGAATCACACTAACTGAGGAAGAAACATGGGTATTATTTTGATGAATGACCTTATAAATTCTTACATGCAAATGTACTTATGTACCTATGTGTATACATACATATACCTCAACAGCTTAAGAAAAAAAAGATTGTACATATTATTAACATTTGCATTTACCCATGTATTCTGAATGCATTTTCTTATCACTAAAGGTAAATTTTTCATAATCTCTTAATGTATCTCATTGCATGATGAATTATAGTTTATATAACCCATCCCCTATGGTATACTTTGTTAGCTTTCGATAATTTAGCCTAGTTGGTAGTTTTGGAGCAACTATCTCTGTGCATTTGTGTGATATTTCCACAGTGTACTTGAGAGTCTTATATTCTGGCTGAAAGGAACAAACATTTACACATGAAAAGAAAACAAGTTCATACAAAAGGGGGTTGGGGTGGGGAACTAAATTGTTCAATGGCCAAGAGTCAAAGACTTAAGATCATTTCATGCATGGGTTGCTACAGAAGGCTTCATAAAACATAGTCAACAGTGACAGAAACTCAACTCAAAACAGCTTAAGTGTAATAAGCTCATAAGATTGGAAAGTTCACTTGGTTTCAGACTGAGCTGGGTCCAGGGTTCACGCTGTGTCACTGGGCATCCCTGTGTGTGTGTGTGTGTGTGTGTGTGTGTGTGTGTGTGTGTGTGCCTGTTTCAGCTTCTAATTATTCTCAGGCAAGCTTTTTCTCCATGACAGCTGCCCCTAGCAGCTTCAGGCCTGAGAGATCTTCATCTCTTATAAGGAGAGAGGACCTCCCCCCATCTTCTCATTAATTCCTGCTTGGTCATGTAATCAGACCTTCTGTCCACCACCACTGTGTTATGGGAATGATGTATTCAGATAGTTAGCCTGGGTCATGTACCTATGCCTTAAGGTGAGAAGCAGGGTGTGTGACTCAGGGTCCCATGTTGTGAAGCAGTTCTCAACAGGAAAATATGATGGAAGACCAGTAATGAAGCCACTAGTGAGGGATGCTGGAAATTGAACCACTGTACATGCTCTGGGCTAGAAGTAATAGGGAAACTCCAAATCAAACTGGCCTCAACAATGCTTATGTATGTCAGAAAGTCCAGAGGCAGAGTGGGTGTAGCACCATATGAGCAATGGCTCAGTGATGTCATTAAGGATTCAAGTGCTTTCCAACTCAGGGTCAACTACATCCCAAGTCAAATTTCTTTAATACAACTGCCAGTGGCAATTAGAGCCACCAGCTTCCTGTCCACAGTTAGTAACAGAGGGTGAGAAATGGGCTCCTTTGGCAAGGCTAATAAAATCCTTTCCTGCTATCTAACTGGACAATCCTAAATTATGTGCCCACCTCTGAACTAATAACCATCATCAATAGGAATACTACACATTGATTGACCAATCAGTATCTACTCCTGAAGAAATGAGTAGGGTCACCTTTCACACCCTAAAAATGTGGCAGAACTGGGGGCCTGTTAGGAAGGAGTGAGAAATGGATGTTAGGTGATCAACTAATATTGGAATCCAAATAATATTTCATTACTTACAGAGGAAACATGAGATTGGGTAAGGTCCAGAAGGTAGAATTCTAGAGGATGCCCTGGTCATAACTGACCAGGATATGGAAGAAAGGCCATCCTACAGGGACCAGAATAGCAAGCAAGCTCAGTTGGAAGTGTTCGTCTACTTATTCCTTCATTCCACTGTACCAACTATGTACCAGTCCTTTGGACACAACAATAATAAGAAGATAAATTCATAGACTCCTGAACTTCTTGTAGTGGAGACTGGCAACAGACAAATTAATATAACATATAATATACAAAACAAGATAAGGGGAATGGAGGGGAAAGGGTGGGTGGAAGAGTTACGTTGACATTTAAGCAAGGACCTGAAGGGGAAGATGGAGTTAGCCCAATAGGATATCTGAGGGAAAGAGTGTTCTGGGCAGAAGGAATAGAAAGTAAGTGCAAGGGGCCTAAAGCAGACAACCATGGCATGCTAAGGGAATAAAGAGGAGGACAAGAGCTAAATGGCAGGCAATGAGACACAGAGGAAGCTGGGGCCAGGCCATACTGGGTCTTGCAGGCATTGCAAAGACTTTGTGCGTACTTTGTGTAAGAGGTTAAATTTATGATAACAGAGAACATTATTGGAGCCAAAGGTGGCCATGCCCTCATCCCCTTGGCTCTGCCTGACCCTAACTTTTTCTTTTCTCCTCTTCTGCAGGCCATGTACATGTTCTACGCACTGGCCATTGTGTGTGATGACTTCTTCGTTCCTTCCTTGGAGAAGATCTGTGAGGTACATGCCTGTCTTGCATTCTCAGTGATACTGAGTGAGGCCTGGGATGGGGTCTGTGCTCTGGTATGTTCCACCCTCTTTGCCAAGATCCTGGGGAGTTTTAGATGCCAAGCACCTGATGTTTGACAGAGAAAGCCAATATTAGAATAAAAGCTCAATTACTTTGTTTAACATTGCATGACACCAATGGATGGTCAGACTTTAACCCACATGACCAGCTTTTCCTGCTGCATTTGAGTTGTCCCTGGGTATCTATGGTGGACACCCAGCAGATACTATAATCCATGAATGTTCAAGTCCCTTTTTTAAAATGGAGTAGTATTTGTGTATAACCTATGCATGTTCTCCTGTATACTTTAAATCATCTCTAGATTACTTGTAATGCCTAATACAATGTAAATGTATACAGATAGTTGTTATTCTGAGTTGTTTAGAAAATTATGACAACACAAAAATCTGTGCATGTTCAGTACAGATGCAGTTTTTCCAATATTTTTTATCCACCATAGATTGAATTTGCAGATTCAGAACCTTCAAATATGGAGGGCCATCTGTACCTGTGTTCTGGGTCACCATTTTCTTTTTCTCTTTTAAATTTTGCTATTTCATACTCCTTTTCATTTTCTCCACCTTCCCTTCCTTCATTTCCTTCTGTTCTCATACCCCTCTTTTGGTGTTCTGTGGAATCCTTTCAGGATAAGAAACTTTCAACTACTATATGCCTCCCTCAGGCTTCCTCTCTCTGTTTATTACAGAAATGCTCCAAGTAGAGGCCCAAAAGGCACTGAGATGAAAGAATTGGGCACACAGATCAGGAAAGTGTCTCCACTATAGATCATCACAGTGAAGGCTCTGCAAGTTACATCCCTTTCATCAAAAAATATTTAGCATATCTAGAACTTTCTCATTTTCTCACTTCTTTCGTCTCTGTCTCTTTGGAGATGTACTTCCTTTATCTGCAAGCTTTGCATTTTATTGGTTTATTTATTTATTTTTATTAAGATTCCCAGTTTTTATAGAGCATCATTCCCAGACACATCTCCTATCTGGAACTTCAATTTTATTGTGCTATTGGTCCTCAAACCTTGGGGACACTCCCCCTTTCCTTTACCCTCCCCACAGCATCTGATTCAGTAGGTCTTGGCGAAAGTGAGCATAATTTCAATTTCTAATAAGTTCCCAGAGGATTCCAACAATGCTGGTCTGGAAACCACACTTGGAGAACCACTAACTTAAGCAGTTTCTTCTATACCCTGGAAGTTTGTTTGTACTTATAAATAAATAAGTAATCATTCCACAGTGATGACCTTGAGAAATCACAGAAGTGGGTTCCTCTATGCAGTAGCACAGATAAGGAAGTGGTATCTCAACCTAGGAGCAAGGTCACTGTATGTTGAAGTGTTCAGCACCTGTAATTATTCATTCATGTTTTCTGAAATACAGTTGGCCCTCATTATCCAAAGGGGATTGGTTTCAGAGCCCTGTAGGTACCACAGTCCTTGAATTTCAAGTCCCTTATATAAGATGGTATAGTATTTGCATGTAACCTATTCATGTCATTCTACATATTTTAAATTATCTATAGGTGACTTATAATACCTAATACAGTGCAAATGCTATGTGAATAGTGTTATACTGTGTTTTTTAGAGACTAATGACAAAAAGTCTGTGCATGTTCAGTATAGATACAATTTCTTTTCCTGAATATTTTCATTGAATCCATGTATGCAGAACCCAGGATACAGATGGCCTACTGTGATGAAAATCAAAATGACTGTCTCTTCCCCATGCAACTCTTGTATTGCTAATAGCAAAGGTATTCATTATGTCCTGGAAATATAAATACAGTTGCTGGCATGTATTCTACTCAATTGAGGAAACCTATAGAACCTTCAAGGGCACATAAGCCCTTCTAGGTGAAGGCATAGAGCTGGAATATGGCAGAAAAAATAGAATGGGGGTGAGCTTTTTAAACACAAAGAACAAAAAAAACCAAACAAACAAAAAAAAAAAAACAAAAAGAACAAGAGGCGAGGACAAGGAAGAAAGGAAGAAAGATGTTTAATAGGGCAAAAATCTTATTTTCATTGGGTCCCTGAGTTGCCAGAAACTGCATCAGTTGGTAAGTGAGTATGGTATGAATGTACTCATTCCTTTCTTCCATTAGCCCTAAAAAGTTGCCTACCAGGTGCCTACAATTATTCCCTCTTTTTTGAGACAGTACTGGGGTTTGAATTCAGGACCATGGACTTGTGAGGCAAGGTCTCTACCACTTGAACCATGCCTCCAGTCCTTTTTAGTTTTAGTTAACTTTTGGATAAGGTCCCAGTTTTTGCCCTGGAACAATCATGCTACCTTTGCCTCCTGCATAGCTGGTACCACAGGTGTGTACTACCACACCAGGCTTATTTATTGAGATTGGCGGGAGTCTCACTAACGTTTTGCCCAGGCTGACCTCAAACTATAATCCTCACAATCTCTGCCTCCTAAGTAGTCACTTCCCTAGCTAAATTATCCCCACTTTAGGAACAAAGGTTATCAGAGACATTGAGCATCTTACCCCAGGTCACCCAGCTTGTTAGGGGTGGAGCGATTGTCAGAACCCTCCCTAGTTCAGAGATGATCTTGTACCAGGCCTGGTTCAGTCAGAGCTGGCTCCTCCCTATCAAATTGCTTTCCATAATCTCCTAGTGATGTGATATTGTGTATTTAGTGATTGCTTAAAGAGTAAAGCAGGACAGGGCAGAGACACTAAAAAGGATGTTGTTTTCAGTTTTTAGGAAAGAAATCCACATTGCTCAACAAATCTTAGCCCAGCGTAGATTCTCATTCAGTTTCAAATACTTCAAAGTTGAGTCAGAAAAAGTGTGAAGCTGGTGGGAAGCAAGAAGGGAAAGGAAGAGAGAAGAGGACCATCATGATGATCCAGCAAGCAGCAAAGGGTCAGGCCCTGGTATTGTAAAAGTTCTTACTCCCCATCAACCTTTTTACCCGCCTGGACCTCAGTTTCCTCTTTCCCCTTATGTGAAATATCAGTTGCTAGATTTGGGAAGCCAGGAGGTTCATCTGGGGACATGCAAAGTGTTGAGAAATCCTTTGTCCAGGTGGACAGACAGACTTGGCTACACTGAGGTAAAGGGAGGAGAAAGGCGTTTCAGGGACAACCAGCATAAGCCAAAGATCAGCAAAGGTATGGACATGGTGTTTTTAAGGACCAAAAGGTGGTAGCTCCAGGTCAGGCAGAAACGTACGGATAGAAGATGAAGTCAGATGGGGAGGGTGGGAAGGCTTTGGGGCCATACTGAAGTTTTCAGGGTGATATTGGAACCTTCTGAGCAGTAAGTGAAAGTAGTGGGCAGACTCCATCCCACTCAGGCCAAGCTCTGTGCCTAAGGCAGGGTAGGAAACTTGACAAAACATAGCATGGTCCTTGACATCAGAGGATTCCCAGGCCACAGAGCAGCTCCAGAATGATACAGTTGGTCCTCTGTATCCACAAATTCTGTATCCAAGCATTCAACCTCGGATTGAAAATATTTTTTAAAAGGTTTCATGTGTGCTGAATACATACAGACTTTTTCCCTTATTATTATAGCGATCATTTACATAGTATTTACATAGTATTAAGAATTTAAGTAATTTAGACATGATTTACAGTATAGAAAAGAATGTGCGTAGGTTATATGCAGATACTACACGATTCTACAAGAGGCTTGAGCATCTGCAGATTTTGGCACACCCAGGGATCCTGGAACCAAACCCTCTTGATACCGAAGGTTGGTCATGTAATTGGAGGCTTCATGGAAATTGAAGAGTCAGGGGAAAGGATTGATCCTGACGGAAGTACTAGAGCAAGGCTTGTGCAGGGGACAGGACCAGAGAAGCAATGCCTGGAGAAAAGGCCTTGTTAATAAAGCATTTCAAGAAAAGGTATTTGGTTGCAGGGCATCATACCTGTAATCCCAACACTCAGGAAGCAGAGGCAAGGAGGATCATAAGTCTGAAGTCAACCTGGGTTACATAATGAGATCCTGTCTTTGAAAAAAACAGTATTAGTTAGTGAGAATCTGAGCCACAGCCCCAGAACAGGAGCTTGCATCAGCTCCTGGGAGCCCTGTATGTCAGTCTGGGTCATGAGGAATTATTCCATGCTCAGGAGGGAGCTGAGGGCTTTCCACAACTATGTCATCGTCATTAGAATCCAGGAGCAAGAAGGCCCCCTCCACCCAGCTGATGAGTCTAAGAATCCAGGGAGATATTGCCAGTGCTGGAATGAATTATAGATGAGAGAGGGAGGAATGGAAAGAGATATGCAAGAAGAAACAAATGGACTGAGTAAGGAGAAAGGGGAACAGGACACGAGGCTACTGTTATACTCGTCATGGAGTGCAGGTGAAGGGAAACACAGCAAGGCAAGGCTCAGGGCTCATAGTTCACAGCAAAGCAAGCCATGCCACACCACAGCCTGAGCTCTCTGTCATGCTGCCATCCTTGCAGTCTCCTTCCTGATGAAAATAGAGTAATGAGCATCCCTTCCAGCCAGTTTTCAGTGTTGACTTCGATCTTAGTCTCTTAAGTACCCCACGTGAGTCCAGAGCTGTTGAGTCCAGAACTAAAGGATCCAGGATCCCAGATCAAATTCTCCATTAGGGCTCCTGCCCGTCAATCTTTGTCCACCAAGGCCACGCTGCCCCTCCATGGCTGAGCAAGACAGTGCAACCACTGGTGCCACTGAGAAGAGGACAATGGCATTCCAGAATGGCCCATCTTTGCTGGGACAGCATGTGGAAAGTGGCTGCTTACTGACAACCAGCAACTTACTTTCTGGGTCATGATGGACTGAAGAAGTTAAACCTGCCAACAAACCTCTAATGTGTGTCTGCCTTGTCTTCTTGCAAATCACCTTTTGACTTACCAAACAGAGTGACCTGGAGAGTCCATTGTGTGGACTATCTCAGCAGAGCTGATATCAATCCCCTACTCAGTCTCAAGTCTCTACTTCCACTCTTGTCTCCAAGAGTTTGAAGGCCAAGAATGGGGACTGGGTTTCAGGAGAGTAATCCTCACAGGTATACCCCCAAAAGCCTCCTTAATCCTTATAGAATGAAGCTTCACAAACTGTTCACCATAAGCCTTATTTAGCCTGAAATCATCAAAGTATTGCAAAACTCATGGTATTTTGTTCACAGGTTTGGATTATTATGCCAATAAAAAAAATCAGAGTATGTGCAACATGTATGGAACAGAACCCCTAGATCTTCTCCAGAACCTTTGACTATATGAAGATATGCAGCCTCCCCCATTAATCCTGCTGGTGAGGAAGATTGAGGAGAGGAGTTTTGGTCCAGCAGTGTGGACAAGTAGATGTGGTCAAGCTCTAGAAGGAGAAGAAGGCTGAGAGGCACTGAGGGCTTAAGACCAGCCCCAGGCCTCCAAGAGCCCTGGCCCTTCCTTTCTCAGGGCTTGGACCTCAGGAGTCATGGTCACCTGTGTTCTCAGGTGGGATCCCAACTTACCTGTGATTTGTCTTTCCTCCTCTACAGCGCCTGCACCTCAGTGAAGATGTAGCAGGGGCCACATTCATGGCAGCAGGCAGCTCGGCCCCAGAGCTGTTCACATCGGTCATAGGTAGGTGACCAAGAGGAATATCTCAGCCCTTCCCTATCTAAAAGAAAAGGGCTCTGGGGATACACAATCTCCAGACTTGGATTGTCTACCACTGACAGGAAGTGAAGTCCAGGGGCCCAAGCAGAGCGTCAGTCTGCCACTCTTCTGTTGATTTATTTAAGTGATGCTTTTGCTGTACGTGAACTTGTTCTAGACCCAGGGCCAATGCTGCTAAGCAACAGTCTCCTCTCTATAGATTAGACAGCTTCCTCCAACTTTGGCTGTTTCCTGTAGGCCTTGAGAACAGTCTAGAACTCATAAAAGATTCCCCCAGACCCAGCTTGAAATGCAGGTAGGCCACCACAGTCAGGCTGATGTTGGATCTATGTTTCAGGGGTCTTCATCACTAAAGGTGACGTGGGAGTTGGCACAATCGTGGGCTCTGCCGTGTTCAATATCCTGTGCATCATCGGTGTTTGTGGGCTCTTTGCAGGGCAGGTAAGACTGATGACTCCTCTGGCATCTGGGGGTGGGAGGACTTGAGGGAGGAGGCAGGGGATTGTCTTTCTGGGACATACCCACATCAGGGCCCAGTGGTCTTGGGCAGTGGTTATTTGGAGTCTTGCACCCCTGGAGGCTCGATGAGGTGGAGTGAAAAAACTCTGAAGTCATGATTGCCTGGTCTCAGGTTGATAGAATCTAGACTCCCCAGTTCCACATAAAAAAAGTTAACCCGCCTGAAAGATTCAAGTTCCAAATTTGAAAGTGTCAAACTCGTCTTATACTGATGTCAACCATGATCATCTAAAACAATTTTGGGTATGGTTTTGCCCATAGGAAATAAGAGAGAAAGAGGGCTAAGGAAAGAGACAGAAATGTTTCTGCTACAAATAATTTGCAGTGGGCCCTGGTTAAACACAGCCTGTCTTTCTACAGTGATGGGGCATTTTATTTTATTTCAATGTTTGCTTTAGTTGGGGTCCCAAGGGTTCTTGCAGGCCTACACTCTACCCACTGCTGTGGGGATATCATGTGGGTCTGAGATTGACCCACATGAATGTCAGTGTACATTTCGCAAAGTCTTGGCAATTTGCTGGGAAACCAAGTAAGTGTGAGGCTTGTGGCTGCCAAGGTCACAGTATGGTGAAGCAGCATCTGAAAGTATGAAGGGTGTGCAGCTGTCCTGCCAGCTCTGAAAGTCTAATTTCTTCACAGAAATTCTGTGTTCTCTGCACAAATAGCCAAGACTCAGTGTCTTCTAGGAAAACTAACGTCTAGAAATCCCAAAGTGACTCTTTTTGCAGTTTCGAGGAACCTGGCAGCCTTAATCACCCAATCAACAACCTCTGTATGGTCAGGACCAATCCTGCTAGCAGTGGCTGGTTGGCATGAAGGGCTAAGGGCAGCTCCTGGCTACTTTCTCCCACACACTGTGGCAGCCATTGTTTCTTTCAGCAGCCAGTGGGGCACCCCATGGTGCAGACTTGACAGTCTCCTTGTAGGATACACTCAGGTGCACCATGGCTGTGCTCCATGACCCGTTTCTTACTGCCACCTTTTTCATGCTGATAGATTTGTCTGGCTTGCCTGGTGTGTTAGTTCCTTCCAAGTGATAGGGAGAGGGACACCTTGATCTTGTTACGAATCAGCTCCAGGGCCCCCGGATGGACAGTATACTTCTTTTAAGGGGCTCCCGGACAGTTGTTTTTGTTCATGATGCTTGAGCTCTGTCCAACTCACTAGACTGAATGTCTTCTATTTTCCCAGTGATCTGTTTTCTTAGATTTTGGTGACCCACACAACAAGGCTCAAATGCATGTGTGGCACATAATTTGTCAGCAACGCAGGTCATCACCAGCTTAGTTAGAGCAGCTGTATCCAAGGCACATGATTGTCTGGACTTCAGCAAATGCTGGTGTCTGTCACTTTGTCCCCTCCAGAAGGTCCGCATGATTAGAGAGAAATAACAAGCAGGTTTGTTGTTAGAAGCAGTCCACATATGAAGCCAACTCTTCCTTCTGACTATCCTTGTCCTGTGCCCTCTTAGAGATTCCCAATTCCAACCAGTTCTCTTTTTCAAGGTTTTGTAGAACCCTAAAGTCTTCTCAAAGAAAGCAAAATGATGTTTTAGAGGGAACATGGGCTGAGGAATCTGGTTGGCTTGGAACTGAATCCTGATTCTGTTATTTTCTGGCTGAGGTACATTGGGAGTTACTTCAGCCCTCAAAGCCTCAGTCTTCTCACCTCTAAAGTGGGTATAGCACACCTACTTGCTAGTGTTGCCACAACGATGAAAGCTAGCATGCTCAGCATTGAGAGCACCTAGACTGCAGGGCAAGTCAATAGAAGTTATCAACTCTCAGGATACCAACCCCTGATCACCACCAAATTCCACCCTAGGTCACAGTGATAATTTGACCACCTGGTTGGTGGAATTATGTAATATGAGTCTGTGAGGTTCACACCAGATGTGTGGTGGGAAGGAAAGAGAAGGTCATGCAGAAGACCTTTTAAATGAGAATCAAAATGAGGAGATGTTGACAGAAGGATGATCTCGGAGGACTGGTACTGAATTCTGCGCTGTCCGATGAGTGGGTGGAAAAGAAAATCCATAAGAAATGAAAGCTGCCTAGCCTTTGCACATGGAGAAGCCTTCCTAGGCAGCAGAGCTGGTGCAGTGGAATGTTATGGCAAAGGGTGGAAATTGGGAATTGAAGTGATTAATGAAACCAATCATGGGTCTCACTTAGCATTATTATTTATGTTGATCCCCACTTTCATTTGGCTGGGAGAATTACCAGTAAGCGCCCATGGGCCTCCCTCTAACGAATTTCAGCATAAAGGGCAGTACATGACGAAGTGTGTTACCCATCTGAAATTAAAAGTAATTAAGCTGTAAGGTTTGAGCTCCTGTCTCAATTAGGGTTTTGATGAATTCAATGTAATTAAATGTCTGCTGTATTTGCAGTTTGCAAACATATCCAATGTTTCGGCATTCGCCTAAGGTGCTTGGGGGAATTTTATGGGACAGGAAGTAAATTGCTTCTTAGAGTTGTTCTTGGCATCCCTGCAAGACATTTACAGGGCTGTGGTCCTACCAGTTTTCTTTATTTAAGAACAAAGAATAATAACAACAAAGAGAAAACACGATATTGATGCAACCTCCTAATGTATTTTGCATATTGCATTGAAAGGACTGCATGCCAATTTTGTAAGACAATGTGCTTATGAATTTAAATCCACCATTCAGCGCATGTTAGGCTTTAAATACATAACCACAAACAGAGAGTAAACAGTTTAACTGCATCCCAGATTAGGACTTTCATATTCCAGTTATTATGGGCCAGCAGATGGCTGTAGTTTATTATAACGAGCTCCCACATTGGCTCCTGGCATACTCGGGATGTGCCTGATGTACTTTGGCAAGAACCATCTAATCTTGGCTGGGTTTACCTTTCTTCAGATAGCACCCTATCTGAGCTGGCTCACTTACACAAAGCAGAACAGCACCCAGAAGCTGCATGTCTGAATTGGAACATGCCTCTGTTTCAGTACTCCTAGGAGACTCTAAACAAAGATTCAAGTGCAATAGTTAATTTAAAAGGTGACCACAGGAAATGCCAATAAGACACTGAGGAAGTGAGGTAGGAAAGGGAAGGCAGTCATGGAAAATGTGCTAGCAAGCAACTTATACTGGTGGGCAACTGGGGTTTAATGCATCTATGGGAACTGGGAAACAGTGGCTTCCGGGTGGCTAAGTGACCTCATGGAAGTGGTGAGAGAGCTGGGGTATTTCTCCACCAACTTACATAATTTGTTGGTTAAGGACTCCTCTTAAAGAACATATATTCTCTAGCACTCCAGGTCACTGGGCACAGGCAGGGTAAACCCCAGCCAGAGATACAAGTGTCGACTATCAGAAGGACCCGAAGTGTTAAATGTGGGGAGATAAGAGGAGACCCATAAAACATTTGCTACAAACTCAAAACTAAGTCTTAAAATAAGCTGCCTGCTTGGTCTCATATTCAACTCTACTGAAGGAATTAATGGAATTAATTCCAGAATCCTGGGCCATGGAATAGGGATGTAGCTCAGTAGCAGAGCACTTGTCTAGGCCCTGGGTTAGATCCTCAGCACCCAATCGGAGAGAGATTAGACAGTTTCTTCTAATATTAAAAAATGCCAGATACTCTTTATTAAGCTTCTCCAATGTGCAGACACCACACTCTATGCTCTGCAAATGTTTGTAGAAATACACTCACTGAGTTTCTTTACTACAGACAAGGAAATGGATTCTAAAAGCTTGAAAAGGGGATCTACTGAGGTAGTTAAGACTGACCAAATGCTGACCCCAAATCTGTTCTCTTTTCACATGGGGAACCTATGATTTAAAAATCTCCAGATATAATTGCTGCATTCTCATGACTAGCCTGAGATTTTATGCATTCTTTAGAAGTTTAGGATATAGGATCAGGGGACAACACAAAAAAATATCAGCAAGATGGTAGTGACCCCAGACGGATGATGGAAATACTCAGCCCAACCAACGTGCATCTAGAAGCTTCTCTTTTAATCAGATGGCATCTTCTGAAATGGGGCTTTTGCTTTCACCAAACAAATGGATGATTTGGGCTGAAAAACAATGGGAGACACATAAACCACCCCAGCTTACCCCATACACCTTGATTCCCACTTTATTGTTTTCCAGTAAAACCCAACACCCTACCTATTGTGTTTCAATTCTGGAAATAATTCAGATCCCCAAGAGACTGGGGGCAAAGGACAGCAAGGCTGAAAACCACTCACTACCAATTGCCAAACCTAAAAGTAGAGGTTGAAGGTTCTCTATCCACCATAGAGAGGGAGATGAAGGAGTGAGGAAGAGATCAGTGATGTATTGAGAAACTAAGGGGCAGAAGCAGGACAGACCCCACCCAGGATTAGGATGCTTTGATACACGATCCTGTGAGTGGTAGAAAAGCAGAATGTGTGGTATGGGAGTGAACCAAGGCCACAGCCAGGTCCTGTGGAGCACTCACTGGATTATCACCCAGTAACACTCATTTCCTCCCAGTGTCTTCTGCAGGCTGCTTGTCAGGAGGCAGATCCCTGTCCAAATGCAGATCCCTAGCTCCAGTCCCAGGCCAACTAAATCAGAAGAGCAGCTGAACCTGCTTAAGCTCCATCTGCAGGCTCATTGCCAGTCAATTCTGAGACTGACATTGGCCCAGGAAGACACCCAGTGGCATGAACAGGCTTCCTTTGATGTCCCAATCCTATAAGTGGCCATCTGCCTGAGGCCGTCTCCCTCACTGACCCTGGTAGTTTCTTTTCCCTGGCTGTTCCCACTCTTTCCCAGCCAAGGCCAAGTCCTGGCATGGCCCCACACCTGATCTTCCTGACAGACAATTTTTCCCAGGCCCAGAGTTCCTCTAAGGTCACCTACCCAGCGTTGTCCTGCTCCATTTAGATTGCCTCTACATCTTTATCCCAGATCT